AGAGCTATCAAAACGGAATTGTAACAATTAAATGTGACCACATATATGTCACACAATTGGCCAACGTTTGGGAAGTCCACATTTGTCAACATTCATCCACATTTTGCCTGTATCAGGGTGATGCAAAACGTTTGATTATATCCCTGGTATAATCATTCTGAAATTTACGTATGCATGATTGGTACATAGAGCTTAGCATAATATAAACAGGCCTACGATTTAAAGGTTTGATTACATTTCTTTCTACTCGTAGAATGTGAATGACTTGGAATAAAATTAATATACTACTAGAAATTCTTTCTAGAGAGCAACGAATGTTGCACATCGCACATAATAATTCTGGATCCAATGTCCAGGATAAACAGATGGAAAAAACCTGGTTGTTATACCGTAAAAATTACTTCCCACTAACCTAATATAGCACAAACCTAACAAAGTGCAAACTCGATATTATATGCCAAATTTTAAACGATCGATAAGTAACATTTTACATTTTAAAGTCATTTTTTTTAATGATAATATTGCTCGATAGATTCTTCATGCTATGGGCAAGTTGTCTAAAGACAGGATCTGGCAAGAGGAACCACCGAATAAGGTGATAAGGCAATATAGCCTACTTATTATTTGTATACGACTAAGCTTTTGTGAATGTGTACCCTAGTCATTCAATTATCAATTTAAGTTATGAGTGATTATATTCAAAACGAATGTAGGCCTACCCATTGAAAATGTGGATTCAAGACATTTCAAATTGTATTTCTAATACGTCTCGGAACAGTGGCGTCTTTACGAGTCTTGAAATGGAGGGTTGGGGGTGTGGGATGGTGATGATTTGTGGGAGGGGGATGGAGAGATGACGGAGGGGTGAAGATGAAGTAGGAGGGGACTCGATGATTAAGTGAGGGGTGATAGATCGCAAAACATGGTGATCTGAAGTGATTTGTTTTGCTTCGAAATTTTCAATGAGGTGCATACCGGCCCCTCCTTCCCCGTGCACCCCCATACGTTACTGGTCTCGAAGTAATTTAGTCTATATTTTTATGTGCATTTCTGTTTAAATCTTTTTTTCACTATGCATGTTAAATTAAGTGGCCTATTTATGTTTGATTTCAAGGACTTTCCGGCGATTGACTTCTCACAGTCTTTTCTGGAAAGGAACGCCCCGTCGGTGGGTGGTTTTGTTCGTTTCGTTAAAAACACAACGTTCCTGACTGCTGCGGTTGCTGGAGGCGTATGGCTCTACAAACACGTGAAAGGTTGACAGGCTGATGATGCCTGAATATATTAATTATTATTATCATTTTATCAGAATAGAAACAGATTTATTATTATTATTATTATTATTATTATTATTATTATTATTATTATTATTATTATTATTATTATATCATTGTTGTTGTTTTTATTAGGCCTATTGTTGTTTTATTATTATTATCATCATCAGTTATCCTGTATTACAATCAATTCGATCGTTTCAATTCAACAATTGTAAATAATTAAAAAGATATATTGATGCTTACAGTCGGGTTATGATACCTCCCAATGATCCCAATACAGAACAAAATCAAGAAGTTAGATAATAAGAATTAATAAACAAACTTTGATAAATTGATTAATTAGACTTCATGCCAAATTCAGTTACACATTTTGAAGTCTGTATACTAATTTTAAATCGGCTTGTAACAAACTAATTTCACTACCATTAACTTGGACCACGATATTTCAAATGAAGCCAATAATATTCTATGTTCATCAATTATTTACCGCTTAATAAATGTGTTGGCGCCGTCACACCAGATGTATCAAATTCTCTTGGAAATAAAATAAATCCTAAGATTGTTTTTGAAAATCTTCTAACATCGATTGGTAGCTTGCTAAGTAAGTACTGTGTGACACGGTGAAACAAGAACGCTTTTAGAAATAATTTTAATTTCATCTTGACGTATGTATGTTACCCAAAGAGCAGAGAAATCTAATACTTGCAAATACTGACGTATGTCGTTATGCGCACTTACGTTTGAAATTTTTGTAATTTGTTTCACATTTTTGAATTTGCAGTTCAGTGGCAATAAGTGTAGATCTTCCAAGACAATATGTAGAACATTGTATTAATTTAAAGCACGCCCTCTCGGTGCTTTGGAAAATAATCAACTTCAAGTGGATTCATAATAATTATTGAAGGTATATTTGTACAGTAAAGTACGATAGTATACGTTATTTATGGCGGTTCAACTGTGTCATAATTACTACGCGTAGTACGCGTATTACACGTAGTACACGTATTACGCGTACTACACGTACTACGCGTACTACACGTACCGTACACGTACTACGCGTACTACACGCAGTACAAGTACTACGCGTACTACACGTACTACGCGTACTACACGTACTACGCGTACTACACGTACTACGCGTACTACACGTACTACGCGTACTACACGTACTACGCGTACTACACGTACTACGCGTACTACACGTACTACGCGTAGGTATGACCTACCTCAGCTTCTAACTTGGTGTAATGGTGTTGAACATTTTGTTTATATCATAATAATCACCATCAGCGTGACCACTCGCAATTTTTGATATACCCAAGATTTAGCAAAACTTGACCAAAATTACCCAAGCTTCCTGAAAATGCATTAAAATTTGAAAAGTATGTGTTTTTCGCATGTATGGTTTCCCTTTTAGTTCAATTTATAAAAATTTTTTTATTGTAATTGTTTATGTTAATTATTAAAATTAATATTCATGAGGTGATAATACTGGATAGGAAAATACGCCCTCAGTCGGCCAGTGTTATCAGTATATCAGTGATGAATTTTTATTATGTAATGCATTAATGAGGTAAGATCAATAGCAACGCAAATCACAATTCCGAACCCATGTTTACAGCAATTAACTGTCAATTAACAATATTATTTGCACTTCGTTGAGATTTGCTTACTTGAATGGACTGAAATCACTTTGTTATTTCTTAATTCTTCCTTTATACCAAAAATATTTAATTTTCTTAGTAAAAATAATACCCAAGGATTTGAATGGAATACCCAAGAACCCAAGGCCAAGTCAAAATACCCAAGATCTTGGGTAATTACCCAAGCAGTGGTCACGCTAATCACCATTCTGATGAAATACTAATTTGGTCTGTAGCACCCCTATTGTTATTAACTTCTATATTGAGGGCGTTATTAACATAGAACAGCCATCTTGGATACACGTGTTTGATGTTGTCTTGAAAATAAAGTTCTATAAAAGTTCTAGTTTATATCAGTCCAATCTGTTTTATAAACGCTACACTGGGCCCAATAGTTTAGTCTCTTTTGCTCTAGCCTTTGATAGGAATGTACCGTACCTATTTACCACTGGTACTACTATAGAAGGGGGTACTAGCAGTTGTTGTTATAGTACTTGATAACAAACATACAAGAAGCTCACAGTTAGTTACAGACGTAGCCTACATCCCATAAATAGGTACGAATTCATAGGCCTGCCGTAGGTGAACATATATAAAGTACAGTAAAGCAAGGAGGTTGTTTTAACCTCCTTGAGTATAAAGGTAATAGAATACTCGAGCGTCACGACATAGCGAAGTGCCTGCTCTTGTTCGTATCAAACTCGAGTCGAATCAATCCGAGACGACCCGAGTGGAGTTTCATGCAAATGTTCGTACGGAAAAAAAATCGCGGCCCATCCATAGCAACGAAATATGGCCGACTATGGGATACGTAGACCGGATCCGATTTCCTTTCAAGGAAACGTAGCTGAAAACTGGAGACGTTTCCGACCAAGGTAATTCAACAGAAGGACGCACATCTCCGCTCTCGAACATAGCGCTGTCTCTTATACACATCTAGATGTGTATAAGAGACAGGAATAAGGTGATAAGGCAATATAGCCTACTTATTCTTTCGACTAAGCTTTTGTGAATGTGTACCCTAGTCATTTAATTATCAATTAATGTTATGAGTGATTATATTCAAACGAGTGTAGGCCTACCCAGTGTAAATGTGTATGCAACGTTACTCCAGCTGAGTCCCCTGAAGAAATGACAAACCTAAAGAAAAAATTTTGTGACTTATGCTTACCACGAAAGAATATTATACTAGAAAAGGCATAAATTCACACTCTTTCTAAATTACCAGATGAACCTGTCCAAGCATACTAAGCTGCAAACCTTAGCTAAAAGAGGCTATCATCTAACTTCCTCTTCCTAAAAATAATGTTGGTGTATTTTTGTCTTTTAAAGACGCAAGTATATCTATCAGGAAGTCATAT